CCCCAAAACCCCAAAACCCCAAAACCCCAGGGTAGATTCCATTTTGAACTTAAAGTGCTTTAATAATATAGGTATAAATATAATGAAAACATAGATTACATCGCTAATTTTACTTTCTCTATTTTTTGAATATTACATAAGCTTTAGTATAGATATTGATAGGGATGGCTGATGTTAATCAGTATTTATCGTCACTTTTATTTTAACTTTCTCCATCTAAGGTTTACTTCTCGACATCCATTTCATATTAATTTGACCTTTGAGATTGCTAGCTTGAGTAATTTATTGCATTTTATTGATCATTCTAGTAATCTTACAGTTTTTAGGTTAGACTTTTAAACAATTTATCATCTTGATTGTTGTCAAAGTTTCCCGACTTTCCAAAATATTTTCTAGATTTAGTACCAGTAATTGTGCTTGATCGAGCTGTATTATTCTCAGAATCTTCATTATCTACCTCTTGAATTGTAGTAAGCATTCTTTTCTTCTAGCTCACATTTTAATTAAAGTCCTCGTCAATAATTTAAACCAGAGAATCTTTACTGTTATTTTCTTGAGTGATAAGTTATAATTTAATTGAATTTCCCATTACTCCCATAAAGAAGATCCCAATTAGAGTTGAAAGTAAAGAGATTAAATAATTAGGCTTGTATAAAAGTCCAAATTTATGATCTGGTTGTTCAGGAGCAATTGTATTTTTCATTTGTAAAACGATTTTCAAAGTAGACAGTATTATTAATGTAATCATAGTGGCCTTTATTTTTTTCCTGATAGCCACGTTATACTTAATGATACTTTATTTCTTAATCATCTATTGATTTTCTAGTTAAATTCTATATCTAATGAATTTTGTCATTCCCCAGAGTATAATAATATAACTAATTGCAAGAATAAACAATACGATCAAGTAAAGCACTTCCAAGAAAGATAGAAATTCGCTTTTTTCCATCTTTTTATTCTTAATTTTCGTATGAGGGCAAGCCTCATAGCTTCTTATAACTCCAGCAATAATCAGTATGACAATAAAGAGGCCAATAACCAATATGAAATATTATCTGCATATTTTAGAAACGTTGTATGTATTAAACTAACAGCAGAGTTAAAGCCATTTTATGATATTGAACATGATAGCAAGCAGCATTAAGTACTCAGGTACATGTGAAGATAAATTGAAACTACATAAGTACATATCATCAAGGTAAACCTCTGGATTGTCTACGTGATCGGCAAAGGCTTAACCTTATACTTCAATTCCAAGAAGTCCGAATATTTTCATAAGGCTCTCTGACACATAGCTTAGAATTACCAGACCATAAGTTAAAAATGCCAATTGGTTTGCGACATTCTTATATTCTCTGAATGACTTAGATGTGAAGCATATAAATGTGATCAGAGCTAATAAAGTTAGAACAATGTAGACCCATTCAAAGAGATCGAAATTAATAGGGGGAGCCATGAAATCTTTTAATAAATTAAATTAGAAATCTATCCTCAATTTATTATTATTATAATTCAAATTAGCTTAGGATATTATTCTCTAGGGGTTTTGGGGTTTTGGGG